CTCTAGCAGGAATCACCACGATCCACGGGCGAGCCACCGGTCCAAGCAGCACCGATTCACGAAAGCACCAACTCACAAAGTACGAAGCACCAAAGCACTAAGCATGGAGCACCAAGTCGCATGGACCAATGATCCACGAACCATGAAGCGTGCAACACCATGCACCACGAACCCGCGATGCCCCAAGCACCGAATTCATGATGCTCCAAGCACCGAATCCACGAAGTATCAAGGACGGCGCACAAAGCATATCCACAATGCTTCACGGAAGTACCAAGCACGTAGCACACCAAATTCACAACGCAATTCGCAAAGCACCAAGCACCGCATTCACGTGTAACATCGACTCAGGAACCGGTGGGCGGGCGGGCGATTCGCCGCTTCCGGAACCAACCGGTGGGTGGGTGATTGGAGGGGTGGGCCGCCAACAGAAAAACAGGTGGGCAGGCGCTTGGAGGGGTAGGCCGCCAACAGAAAAACTGGCGGACGGGCGGGCGATTCATCGCTTCAGGGGTGGACCGTGGAGGAAAAAGTGGTCGGGCCTGAGGGGGTGGACCGTGGAGAAAAAAAACGGTCGGGCCTGCAATTCGCCGCTTCCGGTACCAACCGGTATTGAACGGCCCGAATTGCTGGCCGATCACCACCGCTGACGGCCCGGATCTCAGGCGGATCAGAAAAATTTCTGATCGGCCTGCGATCCACGCTGTCCGCGGTGGTGATCGGCCAGCAATTCGGGCCGTGAGTTCTGACGTTTAGCAGTTTTTTATAGTATTGTAGATGTAGATATATATTTCATAATCCATAAAAGGGTGGAGGGCAAAAGGCAACTTACCTAAGACAGAGGACTCCGCCAGCAAGAAAGTACCAACCCCATGGTAAGTGGCCACCTCTACAGACCGGGCAGGACCGGTTTGGGTGTGGCCTGTGGAAGCACCGTATCCAATTCTCACAGTCAGTTACTGCATCGAATGGCACAGCGCAGACAGATGTCACAGGCTATGTGGCTCCTACATGATAGGAGTTATGTATCCGAATGAACTTCAGTCAACAACCAATTCACACATCGCCATACACGCATGCAATTGTAGAGTAGACTCCAAAAAGGAAAATCCACGCAAAACCGGAGAGAAGATATGCACAGCGGAAGCTCCAAATACACAGAGAATTGAAAAACGAATTTCAATTCTGCAATCCCCCGTCCTCCTCCGATCAATCCAGAGCACTTGTTCCATGAATCACAACCGCGTTTACAACAACCCCGAACAACCCAAAACAAATGATCAACGAAGTTTTCAGGAGTCTTCTTCTTCCTCCTTGCCACCTCATCACCCTGGCTATGGCTGCCGTAGCAGCAGTGAACCCACAGCTGTCACAACATGCCCATCTGAACCAGCAACCCCAATGATAGCAGTGCCCGCTCAGCTCCCGCATGAAAGTGCAGTGCTGGAAGTCCTGATGAAGAAGGAGACAACCAATCCAGCACTTCGAAGAAGGTGAACAAAGATATGGCTGCCAAGTGGAAGATGGCAGCGCCCAATAGCAACAACACAATCCTGTGGAAGCTCTCATGCAGAGCTGCGGAAAAGCAGCAGTGCGACCTTCAACTTCGGTTCCCAACACCAGCTATGGATGAGCTTCGATGAAGAAGATGACCTCACCCAAAATAGCGCAGCAGCACTCCAACAACGGATGGCAGAGTTCCCCAGCCAACGAAAACGTGAAAAAGACCCCAAACCAATTTCCTACTCACTACCTGGACGGACTCCCAAGACAGCAGCCCAAGGCTCATCTGTATCCACCCAGAAACTACGGAAAAGGGAACCCAAACCCCTGGCAAGGCAAAAGACAAAGGCCGAATGGCCTAAGACTGCCACATAGGGACTACTAGTGACAGATCTAGGGGTCAACCCCAATAGGTCTCAAAACTAACATACAGAACATACAATTTACACGCCACGGGATCAAGTCCCGCAAGGCTCTAAACCAGAAAACAAAGTACAAAGCCGAACACTTAGTGTAAAGCCCCACTGGGAAACTGCGATTTATTGCATTACGTCGACCGCAATTGGAGAGGCATTGCCCTTCCAAGCCCTGTCTACAAATTGGACATGACATGTCACGTTGCCGTACATGAGTGCAGTATAGACTGTCATCAAAGGTATGAAGACAAAAGCTCGCCCGGTGGGTCATCATATAAGCGGCATGGAGCAAGTTTCTTGGGCTTCCTCAGTATTTGCTCCGACTCTATGGGTAGACGACGACGGGGGAGATTGATTGAAAGTAAGGGCGTTCAGCTGCTGCAGGATTTGGTCTGCGACAGCTCGCCCGGGTGGAGACAGCCTATCAGTCCAGCGCTCTGTAGGTGGTTCATATGGTAATCTATTTTACTCCTCAGGCTCCCGTGCCCTTCGTTCGTCAGGCAAGGAAGAAGGAATTCCGACTGCGGTTGCAGTAGGTGTACGACCAACACCGCATGTGGGACACGCCAGGAGAGGATGTGGCGGATGATGGCACCGGGGATAGTCGACGCAGGAAAGACACATACTTTCTATGAAAGCTTCCTAGAAACATTGACGACACATGGCATGTTGCTGACATGTCATCAGCAAAGAAGGCTGACGTGCACAATTATTCAACCATGACAGATCAAGGCCACAACGGCATGCTGGGCAAGTAATCAAGGGGTGGGGGGGGTGAGCACAAGACAAAGGATCACAGTTTTTGTGGCAGAGGCTGGCAGCGACCATCCCTTCATGGTGGGGTGTGTGTGTGTGTGTGTGTGTGTGTGTGTGTGTGTGTGTGTGTGTGTGTGTGTGTTTTAGATTTTCCCCACAACAGCCCCAATTCCACCCAGATGTGTGTGTGTGTGTGTGTGTGTGTGTGTGTGTGTGTGTGTGTGTGTGTTTTGTGTGTGTGTGTGTGAGAGAGAGAGAGAGTGAGCGAGAGAGACAGTCAGACAGACCGGCAGACAGAAGAGAGAGGAAGAGATGGGGGAATGGAAGAAACAAAAGCTACACTCTCAACTCTTTGAAATGGTTGCTAAATTCCAGTCTGAGAGAGCCCTAACTTCTACTTGCGTGACCACACTGGGGTGCCATTAGTTGTGGCCATTTCGAGTGTTTTCTGCAGAGTCCTCTGCCAATGGCCTGCTAAGTGTGGCCCGTGTACTCCGCTGTCATATGATCTTGCCCCCTTTCTCATGTTGCGAATATGGATAACCGGATAATATACATATTTGGACCTCCAAAAGCCCAAATAGATTTGGGTATATATGATGCAGAAGGTTCCGCTCTACCCTCCCTCCTTCTCTGTCTCTCACCTACACACACTGATCATCTCTCCCCTTATCTCTGTCTCTGTCTCTGTCTCTGTCTCTCTCTCTCTCTCTCTCTCTCTCTCTCTCTCTCTCTCNCACACACACACACACACACACACACACACACACACACACACACACACACACACACACACACATGCATGCACTCACTCATCCTCTGAGCTTAATAATCTCAACATTTCACTTCTGAATCAGTGACATCTGGATTCTGGACCGTAATAGTGACTTCATAGGATCCGACCACGCTTCTCTGGAGGTGTAGAGTGCACACAATCCTCGCCATCTTCTTCATCATCTTCTGAGTCCATGACAAACAAATCCGATTCATTCACATCTGGCCTTGGGGTTTCCGTCTCTGGAAGTGAATCTGGAGGTCGCCTTTGCCGCAGTTCTTCAGCATTCATTGCTTGATTGTCATCCAGAACACCTGCTGCATGATGTGAAGTCCTCCTGTTATGTGGTATTTCTCCTGTTTCTCTTCCTCCTTCACCTTCTCCTCCTCCTCTTCCTCCTTGATTTGGTGCCATGTTTCCCATCGGTTGACGAGGAGAGCGCTCTGGTCTTACTTGTGCTGATGATGAAGCTTGCACTTTCTGGAGTGGCATGCCAGTACGAGGTGGCTGAGACGGCTCTTTGTCGAATATAACTTGTCGAGCTACCCCTTGACGGTCTCCTGGATGGGCTGCTCCTTGATGGGCTAATCCTGCATCGTCAGGCTGAGGAGTATAAAACGGTCGCCGGGCCAAATGAGATGGAGTCGAATATTGCATTTCCGCTGGCACTGGTGTTCCTTGACTTCTTCGCGGACCACACTCAGTTCCCGGTCCTGGTGGGTGACTAGGAGCATGATTAGCCCAGTGTCTTCCGTCCAGGTTCACCTCCTCGCTCGCTGGTTCACTGTCAAACAACCCAGCATCTGCAATCCCAGCATGACCACCTGCACCCTTCTCCTGCAGGGATGCGTGTCGATGATCCCCTGACCGGGTGTTGCTCTGGCTTACCTTTCCATTGCTCGTCGCAGACAGGTCAGACCACACGTGAGTGCGGTCTGATCGAGGTGCAGACTGAGGAGCAGAGTCCAGCCGACTTGCTCTGTCACCTTCATCTCCTCTGGCAGGAGTCCTCATAGCCTCCCCTACTCCACCATCGCAGTTCTGAGCACTCAATGCCGCTTCTCGTTGAGGCGATGAAGCATTCCTTGCTGTGGCATTGCCTCTCAAAGCTGCTTCATTTTCTCTTTTTGGCTCGTCTCTATCGACTTGAGGCAATACCGAATCAAGCATCGTGGCAAGTACCATTGTTGCATCGTAGTCACTCAACATGGTATGATCTCCAGGCCCAAACCTTGGCGCAAAAAGGACAGGGTCTCCAGCTTTGTCAAAGTACATGTGCATCCCTGCCTCAGCTCCTTCACAGAATGCCAGCATTGCCTTGAGCTCTTTCAGGCTGAACGTGACATCCACTGCCTCGCCTGTATGAGAGTATTCTTGCAACTCCTCCCTAGGGTCAATCCATAGTTGAGTGTGCAACGAGGCATCGGTGCTGTCTTTGATTGGATCCACAAAGCTTCGTAACTCAACAGCCTTGACCTCTGGGGGCTGAGATGCATAGTCAGATGGCGCCTGCGTCAGGATTGGTTCCGTAGCAATCAGGGTTATCTCTTGCAGAGTTGCCTGAAAATTCACAAGTAACCTGTTCAAATCCCTGGGTTTTACAACAAGATGGCTGGAAAACCTCGTCCGATCCAATATTGCCCCAATGGACTCACTTTCTTGAGAGCAAGAAATCCAGTAGGTCTTTCTGATTCCATTTATACAATCTAGGGACCATTTGACCTTGACGGCTTCCACATTTGGTACACTGATAGACAACTTGTCCACGCTGCTGGGCGTTGTCCGGAGCACACTGCACACTGACTTCAACAGGATGCTGCACTTAATGCCTGAACTCAAACTTGCCACCTGAAACTCATCAAAGAACTGAGGCTTGAAAGTCACGGCAAAAAGTGCCGACCTTGCAGCATTCATGGTGTGGAGCACAACTTGATCTGTGTATGCCTCCATCAGAAGCTCGGTCCCGACCCTAGCTAAGCAGTTGACGGCCCTACAAATAGCCTTCAACTGATTGCTGCCGCTAATGACCAGATCCATGGTGGTGATTGGTACACAATCCAATGCTGAAAAGGATTCGCAATCATCCAGGATGATATCTCAGCGGATTGCTGCCGCTAATGACCAGATCAATGGTGGCGATTGGTACGATCAGATGCTGAAAAGGATTGGAAATAAGCCAGAATGATAACTCGGCGGCGAGAGAGCATCGCACCATCATGGGCATCTGTTCTTTTCATGTATCAGATCGGAGCCTCAGAGATCGTGTTGCCAATTTGCCATCGAGGAGTTTCAACTGCTCGAAAAACGTACCGCTCGATCACAGACGCACCACCTCTTCCCTTTCGCCACTGCATCGACCTGCGATGCAGTGGGTCAGCACAAAGCAGAATGACTGACCAGTTCCAGGCATCGGAGCATACAAGCCCCAGCGCGCTGAATGCTCCCTAAGCGCCCAATGCTCCCAAAGTCCCTCCTCCATCAGCTGTTGAGTAAGAAGAGAGAATTGAGCACAACTGGCCTCATGCAGGAACAGCACAGCGTGATGAACCAGGCGGGAGCAACTCTCGCCTTCACCCGCAGATTGGGACCGATCCTATAAGTACCGTCTTTCCTCCTCTCTCGTTTCAGCCTTCCCCCTTACCACGCACGCCGTCTCTCCTCCCAGCCTTTCTCCCTACAACCTCAGCTCCCCCCGTGAAACCTCCACAGCCCGCGCTCCACCACCACTGTCTCAAACAAAAACAGGTCCACCTCGTAAAGCCCGGTCGACTCCCTCCATGCTGCTTTCAGCCAGTATTCGCAAAACCTGGTGGCGCGGCACTACCGGCCGTGCAGGGCTCCCGGTAGTGCCGCGCCGCCCTCCCCTTAACGTCAGTTGACAAATGTTTGAATCTTGGATTGGATGCTTTTAGTGGTCATTGATGTGGGATGCTGGACCCGGTTTTCAGCAGGTGACACTCCCCACCAATAGATAGGAGCCATCCGGCAAAGCTGTTACCGGGGGCTGCTTTTTATTTTTTTTTACAAAAACAGAAATTTACCAGCCCCGGCAGCAGACAAGGCCATCCTGCAAAACCACAGCCTTCAAAAAAAAAAAAAGATGTTTTTAGTGGTCTGAATATGCCCTTTGGCAGGGTTACCCGCCCGAACGTTCGGGAGTTGGGGCCAGGGTTGTTCGGGGGGTTGGGGCCCGCCAAACCCAATTATGGGCCCTGAAATTTTTGAGTTTTTTTCTAGGCTGTTTTTCCGGGCGCCTGGGCACCCAACTTGTGCCCGAATACACGCCCGGGTGCCCGGCCAGGCATGACCCCCGGGTAGGGTTCCGGGCAGCCCCAGCGCAAAAAAAAACGAAAGTCAAAAAAAATCCAGAAAAACATTATTTTGTGTAGAATTGCAATACGAACAACTTTTGGCTGACGGTCACATGGTTTTGGGTTTGTTGCGTTTGTAGGATTCTCTTAGGATTTCACGACGGTAGAGCTTTATTAGTTTGTTTTGCTTTTCATAGCTGTGTATGATATATGGTGTTTTATTTGGTTTGGACTTTTCGCGCCGCATTAGGTGATATAGGATAACGCTGTTCAGGGTTTGTTTAAATTTTGTTTTAGAAATTTAGATTAAGAATTTGATAAATTCTGTTTCAGATCAGAATTCTTAGATGGAGGAACGGCAGTTATGGGTTGGGATTACGATGTTTACTTTGTGCCTAGGGTTTGTGGTGAGTAGGTGTTTGTAGGATCCTCTTAGGATTTTATGATGGTAGAGCTGTTTTTGCCGCATTAGGTGACATGGGATAACGCTATTTAGGGTGTATAGAGTGTGTGTGTGTGTGTACAACAAATGTGCAATTCTTTCGAGATGAATAAATATGCAACCGGACTCATCTTCTCCTTCACTCGGCATGCATGCAAACAGATGGCAATCACACTGGCGCCAGTCGCCCACACAAAGCTCAGAGATATCGAGGCCAAGAACACAGTTCAGATTCAAACTTGCTTCGAATGGCTATGGAACCTGTGCGCCCTCGCAACACCCTTGCGACAATGTATTCCCAGCAACTGTTCACACGCATGCTACTCTGGATCTCCCTGGATGTCCCACATACGCTCACACTCTTCACACAACTCACTCACACAGGTACGCTACAGCCTACTACTATCTGCGGCAGCTATGGCCGTCTTCTACTCCCTGCTACTAGCGGCTATGGCTGCTTCATCTCCCCCTCTTCTTCCTCGGACACCTGCAGACCTCCTTGCACAAGACGCTCAGGCAGCGCTTCCGCACGGCTCACAGGCTGAATGAATGAATGAATAACTGGACGCTGCCTCTTGATTTATACTTCGGTTGGTCGCTGGTCTGCTCCTTTCCACCGGTCCTAGGGTGCACACAGTCCCACATGGTACTTGCTGACTGGACAAAGTGCGACTGGGACTGGATACCGCTGACTAGACAAGGTTGGACTGCCCACTGGCCCACTTGCCTCCAGCCTACCCTAAGCAATTCTCGAAAGGCCACTTCCGGACCTTCCAGAAGTCTGTAGACTTGGCCTTTCAAGACTGTAGCAGCCACAACCTTGACCTTTCAGGACTGTTGCAGCTACGACTTCTACACAGGTACGAACCCTACTTGACAGACCTACGGTTCAAAACCCAACGACTACACAAACCTACGACAGACAACAGACAACTACCAAGACACAAGTCACGGGTTCAAACACACAGGGGTCGACATGGCATTGTACACAGGTGAGGACAAGGTCTGGGGATCGAGCCCTGGGATCTCCGTCTGCTACTGCAAAGGTGAAAACCGTTTCACTCCTGCCGGCCTAAATTCGAGGTCCTCCGAGAATATGTCAATCTACAGCGGGATCTTTACCCTTCTTAGCTCTTTCATAGGCGCGGATTACATCGGGAGCAGTCTCTAGAAGCTCTGTTCGAGTAAACCAGCGGTCGTCTTCCGGTTCTTGATAAGAAAATCTAACTTTGTATTGTTTATGCGGTCAATGTCGTACCTTCCGTCCATATCCGGAGGGATCATGGACCATCTTGATGGGAACTGTTGACTCGTAGTGCAAGGCAACAACTTTGACGCGTGAAAAACTGGGTAGGTGTGGAGGTGTGCTGGAATTTCTATTGTGTAGGACGGTCCATCTTGTCCGCCCTTGACTTCTAGGAATGGCCATGGTCCTCTATACGCAGGCAACAGTTTTTGCAAGATGTTCTCCTCAGGAGCGAATTATTTGGACTTGACCCAGACTAGGTCGCCTACCTGGAACTGTGACGGGCGACAATGCTTGTTGGCTTATTCTATCATTTTATGTTGGGCCTTCCTGAGGTTCTCTATTACGGTAGCAATCTCTTTCTCGTGCTGGATTGCAAACTCCCTAGTACCGGGCGATAGCCTCTGGATCTGATCCCGGTTCAGTCCCTCAAACGGTCTGTGTGGTCTAAAGGACTTATGCAGTTCGTTGGGAGTGTGACAGGTTGCTAGATGAATGCTATTGTTGTATGCGCTGGCTACCTTTGAGAGCATCTCATCCCATTTGACTTGATCAGGTCTAATGTACATTCTAAGAACTTGTTGCAGGATTTTATTCATTTGTTCAGTCTGACCGTTAGTCTCTGGGTGACCGCCACATGACATCAACAGTCGTAGACTCTCATCGGTTCCTGCCAGTTCTGACTGGTGAACCTGGTATCTCTGTCACTGACTATCGACAGCGGTATACCATGCTCACTGACCCAATGATCAAAGGAACTTCTCTATTACTAAGTCGGTGCGTGCCCCTAAAGACAAAGGAATAAAAGCCGCATATTTGCTAAACCTAGCGACGAAAACCATGACTTGGCTATTGCCATGCCTACTTCGGACCCCAGCATCCATGAAATCTATAGACACCGACTCTCCGGGTCCTGAGGGAATGGGCAAAGGTCTGAGAAGACCCGGAGGGCCTCGCGTGGTGGTCTTATTTCGCTGGCACACCTTACAACTGCGTACATACTCTATGCAGTCAGCCTTCATGCCAGACCATGTATACGCGCAGACGAGATTGGCTAATCTCTTTTGCCAACCGAAGTGTCCCTCTGTATCGTGGCATTCCCCCAAGATCAAACTACGGATCTCCTCACTGTTGGGAACGCACACTCGGTCGGCTATGTTAGTATTCTCAAATAACAACCCCTTTGTAGTGCGGTAATCTGGTTCAGACGCTAGGGCCTCCTTAACTCTTTTGAGGAGGTCACTATAAATGGGGTCCTGCGCATACACCTCTTTGACCTTTTGTTGCAGGTCTCTCCCTATGTCCAAACGGTGTACTATCGCTCCAAAGTAATCTGCTCTCCTACTCAGAGCGTCCACAACTAAATTGTACTTTCCTTTGACAGGCTTGAGCTCAAAGTCAAACTGGTCGATCTCTGCGGCCCACCTAGTGAGCTTAGGTGTCATCTTGGCCTGCGTCTTCAGCCACCTCAATGTCTCATGGTATGAATAGACTTTGAAGTGCCTCCCAAGCAAGTAATGCTTCCACTGGTCTAGTGCTTTCCTGAGAGCGTAGAGTTCCCTCTCATAGGTTGATGTAGCTACCTTCTCTGAAGGCATCCTAGCAGACATGAACTTTACGGGTCTATACCCATTGCCATCATCTTGTTGTAGGACAGCACCTATACCGTACAGACTTGCATCAGTGGTGACAACAAACGGAAAAGATGGATCGGCTACCTTGAGGACTCGGTACTCTTTCAAGGCCCACTTTAATTCCTTTAGGGCCGATGCACAGTCTTGGTCCCACTTCCAGACCGMTTCTTTCTTTAGCARTCTGCGAAGGGGAGCAGCGATKGCAGAGAAGTTCCTCACGAACTTCCTATAATAATTTGCCAATCCTAAGAATGACCGCAACTCTGTCAATGTGCAGGGAGTTGGTCAGTCTCTAGTCGCTGTTATTTTGTTGTCCTGGCAGAGAAGTTCCTCACGAACTTCCTATAATAATTTTCCAATCCTAAGAATGACCGCAACTCTGTCAATGTGCGGGGAGTTGGTCAGTCTCTAGTCGCTGTTATTTTGTTGTCCTCAGGCTTTATGCCATCTCCATCTAAGATGTGGCCCAAGTACAACACTTGTATCTAGGCCCAAGTACAACACCTGTATCTTGGCCCACTCACACTTTTTTGCGTTGATCTTGAAGTTAGCTTCTCTCAGCTTCTCCAAGACCTGTCTCAGATGAGCCTCGTGCTCCTAGAGGGTCTTGCTAAACATTAGAATATCATATAAATATACAATCATGAATCTATCTAACCACGGCCTAAACAAATCGTCCATACAACGTTGAAACGTGGTTGGCGCATTGGTTAGTCCAAAGGGCATCACTATGAACTCATAGTGCCCATATCTAGTCTGAAACACCGTCTTGTACTGATCATCAGGATGGACTTCTATTTAATGATAACTTGACTTCAAATCTATCTTGGAGAAATACTTGCAGACCTGCACCCGGTCCAACAGGTCATCTATACGGGCAATGGTTCTACGTTCTTCACAGTGACGGCGTTAAGATCCCTATAGTCAATGCACAT